AGTGTAGTTTGAGTGAGGTTTCTGAATTCGGTGGTTAGCCCCGGTTAAAAGTTAAGTCTGCGTACTGCAGTTTTACATTGTGTCATTCCTTGATGTCCAGCATGCAAACGTGCTTCTTCGACAGGCAGAGTCGCTGCTGACACTAAGTCACATAGGGCACTGGTTGCATGAACCTCAACGTCAGCACTGGCGTCTTTCGACCCTTCATTGACGGTGCTCTTGACAGCATGCTAGTCACTAACAGTTTCTTGCCGGGAACGAACTGCATTGTAAAATTGTATTTTAGAAACAAATAAAAAATACCTGAAAACTCGGTGGCATTTCGCCTATGGTTTTCTTACAGATAGCTATGAGTGCCTGGCGACCAGTTTCGACTGTTATTTTCATACCATGGACAAACCGGTGGAATTTTTCACAGCCAACTACTATTCCCAACGCCTCTTTCTTTATTCCTGCATAGCGTGATTCGACTTCTGTTAAAACCCTTGACAAGCGCGCAACCGGACGCGTCTTATTTTCATCTTGCTGCAGACGTACTGCACCTAGTCCTGTAGAGGAAGCGTCTGACGTGATTTTATTCGGTTTGTTTGCATAACACATTGCAAGAAGGACAGGTCTTGCAAAGAAACCATTAAAATTTCAAAATTCTTTTTTATGAAATGGCAGCCATTCGAAAACTACTTCTTGTCTTATTAAGCTTTTTAGAGCTGTTTTCTGAACTAGGTTATGTACATATTTACCAAAAGTTTATTACTCCCAGCAACCCAGCAAGCGTGGCACTGCTTTTTTTTGTTTTTACGTACAGTCATAGAAATTAGACCGCTGATAAAACTCGGATTAGGCTCGATACCCTCCTGTGCGAATGCAATGGCAAAGTGTAGTCTTAGAAATGTGCACCGTCCAAGTAATGTTCTGAACGTACATACACTTTCCGTATTCTCATCCAAGGGAATTTGATGGAACCCGGCCTTCGCATCCAATGTTGTGAAAAATTGAACTCCGGCTATCTCGGCCTCAATATCCTCCCGTCGAGGCAATTGATAATATTCCTTTTTCAACTGTGCCTTAGGGCGTCGAGGGTTTAGGAATGCCCTTAAAGTTCCTTCTTGCTTCTTTACTATAACCAATGGAGTTACTTAATCTGTGGGTCCGTCAACTTTCTCGATGATGCCGTGTTTTACCATTCTTCGAAGGTCGTCCTTTAGAGGTTCGCGTAAGGGTAGAGGTACACACTGGGCCGGCCGCACGCTTGGTTGATCATTTCTCGAAGGACCATGTGGTAGCGGCGGCCCACGCGACCGGTACGTTCGATGACGCTTGCAGATTCTAGGGGTACCTAGTTGTTTCCCGTTTCCACTGCTCCCACGCGCGCAACCCGTCCGGAAGCCTCCGATGATTGTAACCCAAGAGTTGTTTGGCGCCCATTTTTCACAACAAAATCTTTCCGATTTTTCTTTGCCATTGATTTTCAGTAGCATTGTCAAACTTCCCATGTGTTTTATAACGCCTCCGTCGTAGTTCCGTAATGTCGTGCTCATTGGGCGTAGCCTGTTCGTCCAATAGAGCTTCTGGTCAAGCGGACACGGAATCAGGTTCGCCTGAGAGCCGGTGTCAAGCTTATTAGCCTGACGACTGAACGCGATCCGGCTCCTTGAACCGCGGATGCGGTGTATACGATAGGATATATTTATTTTGGCTCAGGAGAGCCGCGGCGCCGCTTCTTGGACGACTCTTTGTTGAACAGACGCTTACACTCAAGATGTCAAAGTCCCCAGAGGAGTCCGTTCCGGGATACTGCAGTGTAGCGTTTTGGTACTGTCGCAGTGGTTGTTTGGTTTGAAGAACTAATGACTTTGTCGTTCCTAGCTGTTGACTGTCCTGGTGCGAGGAATTCCTGTCTCGCTCCTCCTCAGTTCTTTCTTGCTGCTGGTGGATGCCGCTACTCTGCTGGTCTCGTGAAGTTCGCTCAAAAGGACAGTGAACTGCAAAGTGCTTCTTCAGCGTGTTTCACATGCAGCGGTTTTGGCCCTAGAGCGGCGCGATTTCTGCCGTCGCGGCGCTCTGGCCAGCACCAGCGGTTGAGCGGCACGAGCGTCGCGACGGCAGAAATCGCGCCGCTCTAGGGACAAAATCGCTGCATGTGAAACACGCTTCACGCACTTTAGCCATACTTTGCACAAATCAGGGCACGATCGGTTCACGTGCATAAGATTGCAACGCGTGCATTTTGACAGTGCCGGCTGGCGCAACTTCGTTTTTTCAGTAGCATCGACTATTGCGGTTCTCTCGTTTCCTTTCCAGGTTCTGTTTTGGTGCTTGGCCACCTTCGCTGCCTTGCAGGTCAAGGAACCGAGGTGGGACATTTCCATGTACGTTTTAAAAGGTCACAGAAGTGACGTATTGGCGTCTGAGTCGCGGGGGCTATTGCCTCTTCCAAACAGACGCGGATACGTCTACCTTATCACTGGGGTACTGCCCGAAACAGGGTTTTGCGCTAAGAGGTTATAAGGGGCAGGAGGTGGGCGTCCGTATTCTCCATACATGGAGCCAAGTGTAACAGAAGTAGGCGCGGCCACGAAGTCCCTTCTTATTGTCTTGGCTATTGAGACGATCCATTTCCTGCGTATGTTTTCTTTTAAAGTTCCCCTTCTTTTACCACAGTCTGGGGTAATTTTCAGTACAATTAAGCAACTGAGCTGACGGACGCCACCATGAAAATATGTGGCAAACACCCGTGTTGCCATGGCATTGCCGTGGCAACGCGGTTGTTTGCCCCATAATTTTATGGCGGCGTCTATTGAATTGGTGCAGAGTAGGTAAGATATGGAGCCCAACACTTTCCTGACCAGTAGGAAGTCGGCGTGTAGCAGACGCCCTTGACATCGCGCCGGCATCGTCGTCTAGAACGAGTCGTCATAGCGCGGCGTTGGAAAGCGATCGTGTCAGTCGTTGTACGCACGAACGCTGAGGATCGCGCCGCGGGTTGAAAAAGCCGTACAAGCCCTGCTTCGAAAAGGTGTTAGTTGCCCTCTGCCGTAATGAAAATGCGGGTCCGCATCGAAGCTCATTCGATCGCATCGAAAGCAAGCCGCGACAGCGAGCAGACGAGGCACACTGCAGGCACGAAGCAGACGTAGCCTAAGCCTAAGGAAATATTCCGAGCGCCCAGCGGCGAGCAGACGACTAGAGCTTGATTGCATTTCCGCAGTCTGGGATTAGGTTAATTTTCCGGCATCGCTGGGCATGACGTCATGCCGGGTCCTGTCCTATTAAAACGTCCTTCGGTTAGCGCCAGCGGGTGCTCGCGCTTATCTTTGGGGACTACCCCAACATGAAGCTCTGTCTCGCACAGCGCGCCAGTGATGAGGTGGACTTCGTTCCTTCAGAGCACGTCTGAGAGCGCTGCAAACGCGACGTGCAAGCGCGTTGTCACGTGGTATTTTTTAATATTTCGCGGGCTTTCTTTTTAGGCTAATAAAAAGGAGCGCGCAAAGTGTATAGAAACACCTTAATTAGTTGTTTCTCAGTGAGCTCTACAACTTTCCGATATACGCCCCGGCTAATAAACGAATAATTAAAAAAATGCTAATGAGACTTCATAACTAAATAACTATGCGCCCCAAAAATATTATGCTCTTTTCCAAAACGCTTTCTAACAACATAAGCTAATTTCACTCTCCCAGCGGGCTCCGTTTTTTTGTAAAGTTTGGTGCAAGTGATGTGGGACACTATATATATATATATATATATATATATATATATGTATATATATATATATATATATATATATATATATATATATATATATATATATATATATATACGTATATTTGTGTTTTCGTGAGCCCGTTGTAATCGTATTTGTTATGTCGCGTTAAACTTAACGACGCAGTATTGTGGAACATTTTTTGTCTTAGTTTGCTCTCCATTGTAATGTGTAACATTCATTCACGTCTCCGACTATAAAGTTATTTGTATTGGGCCCGCTATCATGCTGCTAATTTTTGTGATTTTCAGTATATCACTTTTTTAACAGTCTATGGTAGTAAATGCCATGCCTTACTTTGGGATCCATCGTAATTATTAACTTTCATTGAGCTTTTCACAGAAGATCCTGGCTCTCCTTCAAGTACCAGTTGAACTTTTTTCTCGACCCTATAATTAAAAAAAAAACACAGACAAACAAACGAGTGTTGCAATGAACTAAGTATTGTATCACTGTAGAGAAGCACCTTTCTTTAAATGAGGTATCAAACTTGTCCTAATATATTTAGGTTGGAGTTTCCCCGAAACAGGCTACACAGCGAAGAACGGCTACAACAAAGCAACAACTGCATTTAGAGCATATGAGGCATGACGCAAACAACAAAGTAAATATGTAGATAACTAGGGCCTTTGAAATCAATTACTCGTTCGTCCTTATTTACGCAACTTGTTTTAAAATTATACTATGAACATTTCACGAGTGTGATATGGTTATCCTATAATATAAAGACCCGCAAAGTTCGCAAACAATCGAAAAAGGTGCCATGTTTTATAGGTTTGACTAAATACACGTAACGCAACTAACAGCTAATATAATTCAGGGCAACTTACAGGTAAATATACTTTTTTTTATAAATTAGTGGACTCTTTATATTATAAGTGAAATTATTTATTACCAAACGCGGTCACACCAGCGCTGCGCGTTAATGCTTTTGATCAACCCTTTATGATTTTTTTGTGTCCCGTGATTTGCTTTATGGGCGAAAGTGTGGGCAATAAAATAGCCAATGACATAAACATATGAAGTGTCGACCAGCCACTCCAGTTGCATCTTATCTGAAGTCACCCTGGGAACAATCGATACCGCCGCGATTGAAAAAAAACCGGACTCATCGAGGAACCACTTTTATTGTGAACGAATTATTAATAATGTCTTTATTTTACTTAAAAATATATCTACAAAATCGTTGACAAAGCGCAGTCGCTCTCTCGTCCCGCTGCACTACCCATTTGTATCCGATGCTCGGCGGTAACAGCAGTCGACTGGCAAGACGAAAATCTCATTATAAGTGAAACCCTATCAAGGTTAACTTAAGCGTGAAACCATTTTTCTGTTCGAATAACATCTTTTACAAGCTAATGTTTGAGCACAGTGTCTTACATCAGCTATTTTCTACAAAAAAACCTACGCTCGATTGTTACATGTAGGTTTAAGTTATAAAAACAAACAAACCCATAAAAGCAATTATTAAAACACAAATACGAGAACACTACGAAGGGGGATCGAACTTGGGACCAATTGATTTTCAGCCAGGTAGGTAATGTACTGCCTAAACTAAAGATTTTTTTTTCTGAGCTACGCAGAGCAGCAGCGTGGGGACAGCTAACAGTGGGTTTATAAAGTCAAGAATTTACACTAGCTTGACCATGCTGACAATGACCCGTTGACACTGAATGAGTGGAGCTACCATATACTACGAAGAGTGCATCTGCGCTAGCACCGCGCGTACGTCAGCCCCACTCCCCATCACGCACAGACGCCGCACAGGTGCATACCTAATGACCAACGTTTTCTTTAGAGCGCACCTCTTAAGCGCCCGTTCCCGGCTTGAGCGGCGTTGCCGTCGGGGTCGGCGTCGGCCTAGCCGTGAGGTCACGTGACCTCAGGGGGGTCACGTGATCCCACTGAGGTCCCGTGGCCGCCGTGGCGGAGTAGGAGGCAGGATGACGAGGTGAGGAGGAGAGAAAAGGGGTCTACCCTCTCCTGAGTACCCTTCCATCCTCCTCCTCAAGAGCTGCGCTCTAATTCGGCGTTACAGGGAGTTTCTTTATGCGTGCTCAACACCTTCTGTGCCACCCGGTTTTTGCCAGCATAATCAAAGTATGTTTTTTTTTAATTTATTGTCTAGAATATTCTAATGCACGAAGGTAATCTAGCAACACAGCCCTGCCTGTGGCCGCTTTGTGTGGTGAAGGGCACGTGGTTATGAGACATAGGGTGAGCCATGCGCAAATTTCCAACCTCGTTTTAAATTGTCTGCAACGCAAGCTTAGTGTTTATAACTTTATCCCAAATTTAATCGCATCTAGTTAAGAGAGGAAATGGTTTCGAGGAACTCACGCATATTCCTGTTGGCTGGGTTCATACAGCCTCTTCGCGTCCAGAGCATCAGTTACTATGAACCATCTTCCGCATGTAGGTAGAGGGTTTCCCGGTATGATTTTATCTTCCTTAAATGTGCCTTCGTAGATGAAATAGTTTGTTGCTCGTTGTAGAAGCTGTGCAGACCAAAGAAATTTTCCTGGTTTTACCAACGCTCAGATAATCGGCAGCAATAAAAAGTGCTTCGTGATTATGCATTGATTTTGCAAAAATAAAGATAGAACAATATCGCCGATTTCTTCCTTTCTTAATCAAGAAAACAAAAATTAACCGTCAGAATGCATTCTTTGAACTGGTTAGTTTTTCGACCATGAAACGTGTTATGTCACCTCAGACTAAGCTTCAGACCGTTTGTAGCAGTAAGAAAACCTTTCCTTATTTGAGGTTGGAACGAGAGTTGTTGAGCAAAACTTGAGCAAAAAAGAAAACGTCACAAAGTTAGTGTTGCCTCAATGGTTTCTAAAAATAAAAAAAAATAAAAATAAAACATTCTGGCGTTTAGAGCACAGGGATTATTCCTGGGTTCGATTGCCGCTTTGCCTTGTCACAGTGTGATTGAACACCGTACCGGCACCCGGTTGTGTATCACGCTACCCAGAAACCCACGCCCTTTGTGTTTCAGGGTGTGGGCAATGTTTTCCAGTTTGCTCAAGTTTTCTTTTGTTTTGATCAGCGCGTCGTCTGCCGAAGTAGTCGGTGACACGAAAGAACATCATCTAGCTGTCTGCCTTTATAGACGCTTTGCAGCAGCTGTGCATGGACGACGCCATAACTGACCTTCAGTTTTTGTTTCCTCTTATTTCGTTTATTTCACTTCATCTTTACCATAGCAGGCCAGGTTATTGCCACATTAGATTCAACTGTGTCCTTTTCTAAAGCATCGGCCTTTGTAGAGGATCGTCAACTACCGTTTCAGTTGCTCGGCATCTCGGTAAGACAAGAGAAGGTCAGCAATGGCGGCTGTAATTTGGCGCGTGTGGAAAGCGTCTATACTCGAGGGGCTTTATTCAGAGCTAAGACAAGCCGGCGCCCAAGCTAACCCCGCGGCAGATGCCGCCGGGCGACTTCTTAAAGAAGAAGAAAAGACGTTTTAAGGTTAGGTTTAAAGGGACAGTGCAACGATTTTTGTACTTTCAGTAACCACAAACAAATTGTAGTTGGAGTTGATAACCTATACAATACGCGTTAGCTTTTCGCTCCACACAATGCCAACAAAAGAAAAAAAAATGAAGAGCGTTTACTTTCTTAACTCGTTATTCGCAACCCCAAGTCACTATAGGTTTTTCAAAATGGCGGTTGTAGTGAGGGTCGAAGATGGGGGTGCTCGTATACCAGTTGCTGAGACTGCCTATTGTGCTGGTTTCACTGAGCGACACAAATTAATTCTGTTTATGCGAGGAAGCTAGGGTGTTATGAGCGCAGGTCCCCTCTTTATCCTGAAAACAAAAATGGTGTTTAACGTAATATTTACGCCAGCAGGCACCTTTTAATGCTGGAACAAAACCGGAACTAACTTCTATTTTGGAGAATAACATAGAGGACGAAAACAGGACGACACGTTTCTCCGGAGAAACGTGTCGTCCTGTTTTCGTCCTCTATGTTATTCTCCACAAACACCGTAACTTAACCAGCACGCTCCATTTCCACGAACTTCTATTTTGGATTTAGTTTTGGTATATGTGTTAGTTTCAAATTCTTTTATAACTCATGATGCGCCTCTCTCTTTCATAACTCCAAATGTGTTCTTGCTGCCCTTTCCGGCTCAGATAATTGTCACGTGAAATAATGAACTGCGGGGTTTTCGATGTGTTTTTTGGGTATTAGCTAATTAACTGCTTTAATATTATTCCCAGCATAAGAATAACAGAATAAATAAAAAAAATTTACAAAATATCGTCACGGGTGCTGAGTTTAGCATATGTTCACAAAATGTATGGAATAAGAAACACTGTTTTCACTACAAAAATTTAAAGAAGGAATCCGATTCAAACAGCAAAGGTGTGCGTTTTTTTAAGTAATGCGTTGCGCATAGAACTTAATATTACATCGAGTGGTTGAATGTTTATATATCTTGATAACAATGTTAAAGTTTTTCATATGCTAAAAAATGACACATTTCTGGAAAGACTATTGTGGTTAAATGGCGAATTTTTGTGATCGTGACGCCTACATTGCCGCAATTTGGATTATTAATAATAATACAATTAAGATATTTGACTGCGTAGGTTTTCAAGCTCTAATATATTTTATGCTTATGATCTAATTTCGAACACGCGGACAAGTATGACAATCAAGAAAGTGCAAATCATCATCCCTGGTGCTAGTTGCTGCATTTTTTATTAACAAGTTATAAAATAAAAATAGTTTAAAATCTATTAAAACAGTATAGCGAATATGAGGTGTAGATGGTTCAGCGTGTTGGTGTCTAATTTACGATAATGAAAGAGGGACATGGGAGACAAACAAACAACAGACCTGTATATGTGTCTTCCATGTCTCTCTTTGGTTATTGTAATATGAGAAATTCACATAAAATTACATGAACTGTGGGTAGAGCATTTAGTGCTATCAAAGTCGCGACTTTTGAAGATCGGCAAAACTTCCAGTCGCCGTCAATCCTTCCGAACCGAATTCCCCAAAATAAAAATATAAAAAATAAAAATAAACATTTCTTTTTCGTTTTGTGTTTTTAAATTACCGATCGTCCCAGAACATTTAGTTCATTTAGTTTTTACGCGCCGTCGTTTTGCCAATCTCAGCCTTTCTATTTCGAAGGAACGCCTACCTGCTTGCTCGTCTGCTCACTGCAGCACGTTTCGTTGGCGTTGGAAGCTGGTGAAATAGTAGTGAGTTTTACTATTGCGTATACAAGCGAACGCAAGTCTGTCTGCGTTAGCGTTGCGTGTTCCACACTGCGCGTGCGCGGAGTCCAAAATTGCGGTCTTATATTGGAGCATGGCGACAATCGAAGCGCATGCGCTGAGTGGAGCAGGCAACTCTAACGCAAAATCACAGCGCTTGCGTCTGCTTCTATACGCAATACTAAAACTCTCTAACAAAACACAATCCCATAAACGGTGCAGCACTACATTGGGACCGGGAAACGCGTTATTTGCATTCAGAATTTACATTTCGCGAGCGATGATCGCGAGCAGTTCCACCGTGCCCGCTGAGCAGGAGAACCGGGGGACCCTCACTAGAGCGCTTCCCGTTTCCGCCGCGGGAGGGTGAGCAACGAGCTTTAGACGCGAATACAGTAAATTCATAATACAATATAAAAACTGCATTTTGTTTTTTGTCTTTAATATACGTTAAAACCAGGGTGCGAAAAACATGCTTTTTACGTCAAATAAATGAGATTTGTTTGATTTGAATCAGATTTATTCAATTTAAGTCAGAGTTTCACTTAAATCACTGAAGCTAGGAAATACATGTAGAGTTCTATGCCATGACATTTATTTCTCAATATGGCAGAGTGAATAATCAATTCGGCCGATCATTAATAATGCGGAAGAAAAAAAACTGTGGATGTAAATTACAGTTTCATTGACCTTTTCTTTTTATAGATCTAATTCCCGCTATACTAGAGCAAAAACAGCCTGATTATTTTAGTTAGTTGGGTTGCTAAAATTTTTAATTTAAGTTTTATTTTTGCGTTTTGAGTTGATTGCAGCAGGACGTTCATTTTATATTTTTCGTTTCTTCTGCTTTCTGATTTTGTTGCAGTGTGATGTTACGCAGTTAACGAAGAAAGCCGAAGGCAGGTATTTAGCTCAGTACCCCGATTTGATCAGAAGACCACTTTTTGATCGTGTTTAGACTTGTGTATATATATCTTTTGCTTGATGATTCTTCGATTTTTAACGTAAGCATATAATAATAATAATAATAATAATAATAATAATTGTTTATTGCTACCAGCATAGAAAAGTTTGGTATTGCGGATGCATCAAAGCCAACGGGTAACTTGTGCGACGCCATCCTCCAATAAAAAAAAAAAAACGATATGCAGCAAGGGTAGTTACTGAAAATACAATAATATAAAACAGACCAAAAAAAAAAAACAAATGCAAACATAATTCCATGAAGTTAGTCACGATAGTAATAACTTGAAGATTTTACGCGAAAAGATATTATGTACAGACTAATACGGAAATCAATAGCAATGTCAAAGCAAAATAAAATACCACAAAACTGGAAAATACGCGAAAAAAAAAATCACGGAAGGTCTTCTGTTAAAATGTCCTACAAACAGCAGAATATTGATTAATGTTCTAGAAAGGCAGGCGCTTAAAATTGGCACACATTACTAAGCAAAATGAGTCTGCGATAGTTAGCTACTAAAACGAAACCAATAGTTCGCTATTAAAACGAAATACCTCTAAGCATCTTTTTAACTTTGCTCAGGGATGTTTGGTTTAGAAGTTCAGGTGGTAAGTGAGAAAAAATATATGGCACATAAAACGCACGCGTACTTCCGCCATAACGAGTGCGGGAAAAAGGTATGTGAAAAGGGTGATTATGTCGAAGATCACGTGTGGGTGGGCTTAAGATTTTGAAATCAGAATTCCAAAAGTACCGCAATACCACTGAATCAACATAAAGGGTTTGGAAGTTGGGTAGTTGCAAATATTCGAAAAGATTAGCGTTGTCAGGTATTTTAAGTTTATAAGAGATACTTTTCAGGATAGCTTTCAGGATGCAGTCCACCCTGGTTTTCCAATAGTCAGGAGAATGGCCGAAAACCGTGATGGAGTAGCGAAGGACGCTATATGCAAGCGAATGGGCAATCATTCTTCGAACAGATACAGGAAAAAAATGTTTTGTATCATATAATAGGCAACTAATGCTTCTTAGTTTTTTACAGATGTATGTAAAATGAACATTCCATTTCAGACCACTATCAAAATATATGCCTAGATACTTCACGCTATCTGTATACTCAACCGGAATGCAGTTGCATTGATGGCAGAAAGAAGAGTGCAGACCTAATGGAATGTTGAGAGTGACTGTTTTGAGTGGATTATAGAAGCATACTAGTTTTGTCTTTTTAACATTAATATCAAGAAGGTTTTTTTTGAACCAGTCCATAATTGCTATTGCTTGAGATTGCAAC